TTTCTCAAATGTGTTACCTGTGTACACACGAGACAGTGACACTGTCAAATCAGAGAGACTATGTGCTTTCATCCATCCTCACTTGGAACATCAGCTGCCTGAGAGTCTAACATCAACTGTCAACATCCTGGCATGGGGCTCCAGACAGGAAGAAAGTTAGCACATAAGTTATTTTGATATAACATAACATCTGTTGATAAAAATACTCAGAAATGATTAGGAAATATATATTATTATTTTACAACCAATGGATCAAGAGATATTTGCCTACATGCATTGATTTAGCACCCCCAACTCAGTATCACCCTAAAACCTTGTATCAACACAGACACAAAAGGACTCTTAATTATAAGGCTATGCCTGAAATAGGTCTGTGGTTAACAAAAGCTGAAGAGACTTTCACGTTTTGTTTTATGACATAATATACGTCAGAAAGTACTCCACTCATGAACTTTGAAGCTTCTATGTGTTTAAAAAAAGGAGGTTGCTAAGAAGTAGCTAAATGCAACTACAGAACATCATGATGCTGAGTGGTGCCAACAAGGCTGTACGACCTCATGGTGGTGGCAAGACATGCAGCCTTAGTGTGGAGTGTTTATAGCCTAAAATTAGCACATTTATGCTTCTACAATCATGAAAGTGGTGTTCATTTGTGAAGATTATCTTGCTGAGCAAAATGTGTAAATATCATAAAGATTTATTTGCCACAGTGCTTATTTTTGCAATAATCCAAAATCTAATGGAAAAATCTCATTTCTGATGAGGGAACCAGTGCGACGCTAACTTCTGCATTGACCTACAGAAAAAAAGTCGTCCCTGCAACGCTCTGTAAGGTCAGCTAAGGAATTTGCAGTTTAACATCTGTTCCATTACTTTCTTTAAAATCTTTCTGTGAAAGACTACGGGCCCTATTTAGATGGTCTAAAGTGGACGGCGGAGGGCGCATAATCCATGTCGCAAGTGTCATTGCTTTTAGATACAGGCGCAGTTGTCATTTTCATGCCCTGCTCCCTCGTCGTTTAACTAGCAAATGAACTTGCGCTTCTCTGGGTGTATTGGTCTAAAAATAAGGAGTGGTCAGGCGCAGTCATGGCGCGTTGCTAGTTAGATGACATAAAAAGCAAATGCGCCAGTGACCAACAAAAACCTGTCTTAATGGTCAGTCGTTAATCAGAATGATCTAATTGCAGTAATAATGATCATCATAATTTATAATAATGACAAATGAAATTGTGAAATTATCTGACCAATCAGTCATTTTTTTGATTGAAAACCAAAGCCCACACATTACATTTATTTTACCATGTTATACTAGGTTACATTATATACTAGGCTACATTATATTATATTATTATATTGTTATCTGTGTGTAGAGAGGACACACATGCAATACACAGCTCTAGGAAATGTGAAAACAATTAACAAACGTGGGTGGGGGAGAAAACGCTGAACAGGTCCTAGCTGCAGGATCAGCACCTTGGGGAGCTCCCCAATTTAGTAAGATCTTTAGATCTTTAGTAAGCTCTTTCTTGTATTAGTGATCCCATGCCTGCTTTACCTCGGGGAGCTTGGGTGCCTGTCTGCTGTCCTTGTAGATCTGGTTCTGTCGGGCCTTCACCTCCCGCACGAGGAGATCTGTCTCCTCAGCTGTAAAACGCTCACTCTTTCCAGTTGGTAGGTCCGCCATCTAACTAGCTCTCCACCATGCGCTCCAATCACACCTCTTTTAAAGGGAATGTCATTGTATTCGAGAGAAACAAAAGGCAACTGTTTCCTTCCTTTTCTCAAAGTTTTGTGCTTGAATATCTTATGACCTCAACAATCTTGTTAATTCAGCAGTCTGGCCAGGTGAGCTGCAGGAGCTTTACAAGGCCAGTGTTCTTCCTCTCTGGTATATGCTGACAGACTGAGGAATACAAGTAATGGTGGCTCACATGCTTCCAGCTCCTCATTTGATATATTTTATATCAATCCTGTTAAGTCATCAGTATTTGAAGCCAAATCTCAAGCCAGCCAGAGAGTGAATTGAAAAAGATTTCTTTGTACAGTTAGAAAAACTGAGGACAAGATGCAATTCAAAGCGCAGGGTCAGTATGAAAAACATCATACCTATCAAGAGCGCATTAAACTAGTCCCATTAATGAGAAAAGTTGAGTTAAAGGCACCCTGAAAAATTTTCATCGTAAACAACCAACATATTACACTGAAAGCATTCTTAAGCCTGAACAATATGTTGAAAACATGTGCTACCTTATAAAACCACTGCAAAACTTCTTTAAATATATGTTGATAAAAATCTACTGATATACACTGGGTGGAAAAAAATAACATGAAGTGTGTGTGTGTATGTGTGTGTGTGTGTGTGTGTGAATTACCCAGACTGTTTCTGGCTAATCCAATCAATTTGATGACTGAAAATTTGACATATTCTTTTACTCCAAAAATACTGAGTAAATATGTTGCCATAAAGTCGTCCTGTTTAGAGACCTCTGTATGCTTCAGACCAAATACTTGTTGTCTAAAGGCCCTGACACACCAAGCCGATGGTCGGCCGTCGACCAAAGTCAGGCCGTCAGTGAGCGTCTGTCGGTCTAGTTTTTGAGCACACATTTAAAGCAACGCACACATTTAAAGCAACGCTTACTTTTCTGGAAATTTTTACAGTTTTCTTTGTTTAGGTTAAAATGCTATTAATAAGCTGATGGCACACTAAAATATAAGTTAACTCCTACAGAGATCAAAACTCCTTCCAGTCATACTTCGACTGATCATTGCATTCAGTCCGAATGGTCAGAGTTTTCTCCTGTCCTGTCTGTCTTCCCCACGTGGAGGCCTCTGACTGACGCAACTGCTCACATAACATCTCCCCCCACCCTCGCCTCCGAGTCTGTGAGACAACAAATACGCTAGTAACAGGGAGATATAAAGTAGTAACAGTGACGCTTGTGGATATAAACTAGTAACAGGGACGCTTGTGGATATAAACTTTTCTCCTTAACAATGGCAGACAAATGTGGACCACCACTTCCACCTCCAGGCGCTCCAACAGGGAAATCAGTTGGCAAAAGTTTTAAGTTTAAGTTTAAGTTTATTTACTTTATTAATCCCCCTGAGGGGAAATTCAATGTTTTCACTCTTGCTTGTCAATTACACACAGATCTGAAAGACACACACATGCACAAACAGGACCTATACATGCACAAAGTGGAGAGATGTCAGAGTGAGGGGGCTGCCCTTGGTGAGGCGCCCCGAGCGGTTGGGGGGGTTCGGTGCCTTGCTCAAGGGCACCTCGGCAGTGCCCAGGAGGTGAACTGGCACCTCTCCAGCCACCAGTCCACACTCCATATTTTGGTCCAGACGGGGACTTGAACAGACAACCCTCCGGTTCCCAACCCAAGAGCTACTAAGAAAGAAACAGTGCAACAAGAAGTAAATTCTTAAGTGCAATACAGTCGCGAGTTTCTAACAGACATTAGAAACCGCTGCAGAGATCTAACGCTACAACCGAGAGAGCTCAGGATGTATAGCAAGCTTGGCCTGCTGCATCGAGCTAGCGCTGAGATGACCGTGGTTTCGCCTGGAGCTGTCCCGACGGGGAGACGCTGGCAGCGCTGTGCTGTGACAGGACGTGGGAGCGGGGGAAGTGCGGAGGGGTTAGCTCTAGGCTAAGAGCTAGCCCCATCAAACCAGCTGTTACCAGCAGCCTTCTGGCGAACGTCCGCTCGCTGGACATGAAAATGGATTACGTCCGACTGTGGAGATCCATTCACCGAGGAGTGAGGGACTGCTGCCTTGTGTGCATTTCCACTTACTAGTAACGTTAACGCTGCTATTTAACGTTAGCACTGTAACCTTAAGGTGCGGACACACCAAACCGACATCAAAGAACTAGTGGCGACGAAAGCCAACTGTTGTGTCATCTACGTCACCTCACGTCGCCCTGTGTCAGTTGGATTTGAACAAACTACACAGACTACGTCCGACGGCCAAGTAGCACGTACGTTCTGCGTCTGCATGAGAGGAAATAACGCAAAAGGCGAAACCGGAAGTCCGAGGAATGCATGAGATAAACAAAATAGCGGAGTCCTGGCACCTCCACGGACTATTACATCCAGACGGTCCCGGTGTTTCCTCCGCAGGCTCCACTTCACTCAGCTGCCCGACAAACTCTTGCTTCTTCCCACTTTAACCTGAAAAACAAACCAGGGCTTGGAGCTCCAGTTGGATCCAAACGGAGAGCCGGGGCTAGCTCAGAGGCTAGCGGAGGATAACTGGCTGTGCTTCCCTCCGGTCATGTTGCGGCTAACGCTCCACTAGCCACTCCCAGCTAGCTCCGGTTTGTTATTCAGGTTAAAGTGGGAAGAAGCAGTGGATCTGTCGGGAAGCTGAGTGAAGTGGAGCCTGAGGAGGAAGCACTGGTTAGCCCTGGTTTTACTACAGGCAGATTCACTCGCTACAGGGGCAAGAAACTAAAACCTGAACAGCCAATCAGAGTGATCTCTCTCACCGACAAGCTCCACCGCTGATTCAACATGCTCAATCGGCCGAAAAGCCACCGACGCCGAAGTCCCGACGGTGCGGGTGTGTCAGGGCCTTTATTCTAAAATTCATCAGTCATCACTGACTCCAGTTGAGTTTTAAAACTCCGGGGTTGTGTTTGACTTTCTTGGTTGTAACGTTACACTCACTCTCCTCTTCTGTGTATCTAACGTTACCTTGCCAACGCCTACGTCTATCATGGATGTAATGAGGACATAATGGAGGAGGGGGGAGTAGGCCTTTGGAGGGAGGTGGCATTGCAGGAGGAGGGGGATGGGACTTTGGAGAGAGGCGGGAGTTGTGGATGTTTAAATTTTTTTCTAAGTGCTGTGTGAAATGCAAGAAAGGTAAGAGTTGCAACAACATGAGTCTGGTATTTCTACTCTCAATATCAGAGTAGTCTGCAATAAAAATCAAGAACAACATGGACAGCATATTAAAGTTTAATATCAATTGACACTTGTTTTTAAGATGACATTTCCTTTAATAGTCTGTGAAAGTTACAGACTGACAATAATTAGAATAATGAAATAATGTGGAAACGCCATGCCCTGCTGACACTTTTTGATGAACAAAATTTCAAAACTTTTCCATGACTTTTCAAGGACCCATAAAAAAAGAAAAATTATTGCAAAACTGAACCTCTAAATTCTACTCAAGCATAGTTTCAGGTGGTGAAGGAAAGTGTGAAAAATGAAGAAACTTTATGGTAAATTAAATATCACACATCGATGCAAATTAGAGCAACATTTCTTTGACAGCTACAGAAAATAGATTTGCTGCAATGTTACATTTCGTGGAGGATTATCCAGATTACTGTAACAATGCCATTACACGCAACACAATTCCATGATGTGATTTTTCCAAAACATTCAATATTTTTTACTTATTCCATGACTTTTCAAGGCCCTGAAAAAGTGATTATGAAATTCCATGACCTTTCCATTTTTTCCTTGACCATGGGAACCCTGAAGAACTCTTTCTGGAGAACAATCTCTTTCACAGTGTTAAATAACTGATGCATCATTGAAGCAATGTTTTCATGTGATTCAGGTGTTGCCTTTCCATATAGTGTTGGGTAGTCTAAACTATAGCAGTGCACATTTTATGACCTTATAGAGTGTTTGTTTGAGAAATCCTAATCTGCATAGGAAATAGATACCATCAGATAAATGACATGCACTAACAAGCTCAGGCTAACAACATGAAAGTACTCAAGTAAAGTGCCTGCATCTTAAAATTGTGCTTAACTACAATGACTGAGTAGATGTACTTTGTTACTTTCTTTTTTCTTTAATTTTGCACCTTTGCTTTATAACACAAGAAATACTGGAATTATTTTCTTGTCTCCTTGTCAGATTTCCTCTTCTCTTCAGCATTATGTTTGCACGTATTGATGTTTTTCCATCAGCTTCTCCTCCAAACACTTAATCAGAATGGGGTCCACTTTGGGGTCAAATTTGTTAGCAAACCAGTGGCCATAGTTGAGAAGCCAGCGAAGTTCAGCAGCTCCATAGATGCAAACGCTTCGCATATGTGTACCCGTGCAGACTGGGTAAAGAATTCCTTCTAAATAGTTCCATTTGACCAGTCGTGTCTTACTCCTCAGATCTGTAATGTCAGCCTCTGACCTGGGAATGTGTCCAGGCACCCCAGGGACCCTGACAAGGGTGGCCCAGAAGTGTTCATCTGGTGAGTATGTGTCATCAGACCATGCCAGAAAGTCCTTTGCCACCTGGCTGCTGCTAATGTAATTCACAAAAGCCCGTGACAGGACAAAATAGGCACTGCCGATGAACATCTCTATTCCATGAGGAGGAACATCTTTGGGAACTGTGGTTTTGACAGGAATACGATGGTACTCGTAAGGCACATTTTTCAGCTCATGTTGGAAGCTAAAGCGTTGTTTCTTGAGTTCACTGGGTCGGCTGGACTCCAGCATGTTACTTCCATTCAGCTGCTTCAGCTCCATTACCAGTTCATAGTTTGACTTGAGAGGAAAGTCCTGGCCACATAGGTTGATGACATACTTCCACTTGACCTCTGACCTTAGTAGGTCAGAGAGGCAGTTTAGGTCAGCATTAAGCCTGCTGATGTGGGCATATTCCACAGACTCTAATTTTGAGGCAATGAATACATTTGGAACACACTGAGCCAGGTTTTTAATGGCATTTATAAACACTGGAGAGGACTTCTGATCATAGTGAATGCAGTACATGTTATAAGGTGCATAGATGGCATGAAGAATACGCTCCACCATGGGTGCATTTTTATGCACCACCAGGGAGTAGGCCAATGGGAAACTCTGCTCTACATCCGACACTGGAGCCATATTGTAACCCCTTGTTTTGACAAATGTTTGGCAGTCTGAGGTCACACTCACCGTGCTATCGTCGTCCACATCAACAATGTCATTTCGTTTTATCTCCAGAGCTTTGCCTATCTCCACAGGGTCCAGCTCGTAGATGGCAGTGCAGTTGATGTCATATCTGTGGCTGTGGGCTCTGGATAAGCTGACAGTGATTCCATAGGGTTCAATGTAGACGCTGTTCCTCACTGTCACTTTAATGTAGACCAGCTTTAGCAGACAGAGCGCCAGCAGAGACATAGGGAACAGGAAGCACCTGTGTCTCAATCTATGTTTGTAGTGTGCACATCTTATTTTCATTCTAGGAACAAAGGGATAAAAAATACAGGAAAATAAACATTCAGAAGATATTATGTAGTTAACCCCTGTACCTGATTATGAGAAGAGCATTAAGTGAGTTAAATATCTGAATCATTTAAAATAAGTGGCAGATTATCTATCTTTTTTCAAGGTTCCCACATATTTTCATGGACAAAATTTCAAAACTTTTCCATGACTTTTCAAGGACCCATATTAATTTTTTTCTTGCCCCACTTGCCCAGCATTTTTCAAACATATCAGTTTCAAACTCTATTCAAACATATTTTCAGCCAGCTGGCACACAGAAGGGGAGAGACAGAACAAAGGGAGAAAACTGAGAAATATACGTGAAGGTTAACAAAATGGTGTCACACATCCACGCATATTACATTAAGTTGACAGCTACAGAAAAAAATGCTGTTGTGTTACATCATATGGAAGGTGATGCATGGGAAATTTCTGTAACAGTTTTACACACAACAAAATTTCATCACTTTTTACTAAACTTTCCAAAAAAAAAAAAAAAAAAATCCTAATTTCATGATTTTTCCAGGGTTTTCCTGACTGTGGGAACTAGGGGTACAAATTAAATTTTTGGTAGCCCAGTAGAGTAATGACATCAAATGCTTTTTCAGTCCACTAGATATATGTTGCTTTGATAAAAATGACTTAAGTGAGATGAACAGATCGGAAATTTTAACTTATTTGATAAAAATCCAATACATGTCATCACAACACTTGGCAAATTGCAATACATTTATTATCGCAATGAAATAGTATTGTGATCAAAGTATCGTGATGAAATCGTATGGGTGGGAACCCATCAGTGAAACAAGTTTTTTTGCAAAGCTGCATCACATTCTGTGAGCCCACTGATTACAGGCTAACCCAGATACATCATTTCAAGTCAGAGAGAGTCTTGTGACAAGGCTCTGGAACTTTCTTTCCCTATAAGAATTCAGTTAATGAACACAAAAGCTAAACATCTGACATGTATATTTATTAATCCGATATTTGCGTTTAGGAGGCAAGACAAATAAAATAAACACCATGGAATTCAGGCTTTGTCTGGTCTAAATTACCTTGCTCTCTAAAGTAGTCTTTGAGCGGATCTCTGCCATGCAATCTTCTCCCGCAGTTCCACATAAGAACCTTAATATAACGACAAACATTTCTTCAGTGAGTGAAAGGGTAAACACAAGCACTGTAAAAGAAACATAACTGTGATACAGTAACAACATGCTGATTCAATAACACTGGGAAACCTGCTTTCAAAACTGTATGAGGAGCAGTTTCCTTCGTGGCTAAGTTTTTTTCTTTTTTGTATGTTTGTTTTTTTTACGCACCAGACGGATGAAAAATGTTATTTTCTCCAGAGGGAATCACACGATGAGGCACGCTACGGTACAACCTCAATATATCCTGAAATACATACATCCGCAACGGTACCTTTAAAAAAGCACATTAGAAGGCGAGGGAGCAGAAATTTACCAGATGCGTAAAGAAAGTGCCGAGCGGTCATGAATTGCGTCTGCTATGTCCGGGTGTCCAACGCTGACTGGAGCGACTGTTCACAGAGAAGTGGCAGGAGGGGAGAGCCCCGGTAGCAGTCCGCCTACTGCCCGGCCACATCCAGCACATCACCACCATCCGATGCATTTGGCACCCACTCACTAATGGTTAACCCTCATCAGCAAAACTGAGGAAAATCCTCATATCTTTAACAGAACCATCCATCAGTGTATGTGCTCAGTATCTGCCCCTATACAGTAGCAAAGCCGGGCCTAAGTCAGGATTTCCTATTACCTACTGGCCCAAAACAGATGCGTAGCACCAACTTTTGGGCACTGTGGAGAAGCACCCTCTGTGGGCCCCCACCCTTCCTCCCTTGCTCCATGTCTCTGTCTCACACCCCTTTTGATTTTTTTGCCCCTTTCTTTCTTTTCATTTTGGATCCCTGAATTCCATTTTTTGGGAAGGACATGACAGTGCAAGTTGGTGCCCCAGCAGCACAAGCAGTCACTCACTTGGCTCTCACTGAGTTCAGAGACAAATAAAATACAAAAAAGGATAATGCACTCACGGTCTCCTGAGAGGGCATGGCCGTTTTCCCCCTGCACCTTGTTTGGATGTGTTGTAAACATCATGCGGATGGATGAAATCAGATCCAGATTATTTTGCAGCTTGTTTTTATCTGCTATCTTAAGCCCTTTTTAGATAGGAATTGTGCAAATTTGCAGAAAAGCCCAATCAGACTTTTTTCAGCATTTGCAGTATAAAAACAAAATCGGGGAGGGCGGAAAATTGCCGCCTACCTACTTTAGTTTATACAGAATGGTTAATGACCTCTTTGTTTGCGAGGGCAAGGAGGGCGCGCAATTCCTTGTCTCCCCAGTTACTCATCTTTACAGTGTCTGTCAGGTTTGCATTCCCCTCTTGCTGCTAGCTGCTTGCTAATTCCTGCTATCAGCTGTTTCCTGTTTATCCACCGCCAGTGGCTCGCACATGCAGCATCATCAACAGCTCCTCCCACAAGTCTTCAACAGCCCCTCCCGTTGCAGAAGGCCACCTCGGTCTGTTTAAACTAAAAGGGTTCTGCCATTATGACTACCCTCCGAGGCGGAAAATTGGGCGCCTCAGATCAACTCGCCTTTCCGCCTCTGTATGTCTAAACGCTCGCAGCTGGCAGGCAAATCGGCCCAACATTTGCAGAAAATCTGGCAGTATAAAAGAAGCTTTAATGTTTGATATCAACCAAGTGTAAGATCATGTCAGTTGCCAGATCTTGCAAGTGTGCTTAAAACATATCTTGAACAAAGTTAATTTTCTCTTGATTTGTCTGTCTGGAAAAAAATGTCATTTCAGTGTCAGTGTAGTTAGAAGGGTCGGGACTTGTAAGAAATGAATCCAATATTTACTAAAGTGACTATGGGGCGACGGAAAGGGTCATAATCTGTACTTGCGGTGACTTTTTTCATTGGAATTTATGTAGTCCGCACCACCGCTAGTCTCCAAAAGTGGCAAGGCAGTAAGCAAAACCCACGTGACACAGACACAGGAAGTGAATCGAATGGGGGCTGTCATGGTTTATCAGTCTCTGACGAATCCTCATACATGGGCGAGACTAAACCACTTTGTGCCTTTAGGGGGTGAGAACGGCCTCAGAGAGCTTCCACGTTTTTTTTTTATTTTTTAGAAAGTTCAGGCTTTCAAATGATTTATTTAGCCATTTTGAATTTAGTTATGGAACTAACTACTTAAAAATGAAAAAGTGCAAACACAACCAAGCCTTTCATCCCAGGCTTTTCAAGGCACCCCCGTAAAAAGCCTGGGCGTAGGCCAAAAGTGACAGATTTTTCTCAAACGTTTACACACACACCAAAGCAGACACTTTCATGAACACCATTATCTTTACAGTTTTGCTTTAATGCACTTTAAAAGATCACATTTTAAAATGTAAATACTTTAAGTACCTGAATGATGCTCAGATAAACTTGAAGTACATGGAGAACACTGAAAAGAGTGTTAAGGGATATTATGTGAAACTACAACCTATCTTCACACTGCCAAATAGGGTGTGTGCTTTTTAATCAGATATAAACAGAACATGAAACCTGAAGTACAAACACATGAGAACAACAAACCTGTGATAAACCCTGAAAAACTATTCACTGGCATTTAGGGTTTTGGATATGATCACTCTTTGAGAGTCACATTGTACCCACGGTAAGTACAGTAAAGTGATCACAGAATTTGTGACTAAGTTAAATCAAATTTTTCAGAATGAACAGTTGTGGACAAAATGTGAGGAGGGATAATCAGAAGTCTTCAACCCCCAGTCTTTAGACTCTGAATAATCTTTCTTTAGGAGCGTCTCCCAGTAACGGTCCATAATAGCATTTGGCAGCACTTCCTCATCAGTCACCAGATGGAATATCTTGATTTTCATCAGACAGTTCAGGGTCGATGTGTCTGCAGAATTAGAAAAGGTATTCCAATACATTTACAATCATGCTTTAGGTATGAAGTCATATTAATGAGGCTGCTTGAAACAGTGCTCAGAGAAACTCCAGATGGGAGATATACGAGGCCGATGATAAATTACTGACACAGAAAAAGTCATGCTTCAGTGGCTGCCCGCCTGCTCTCTTTGTTTGTCAGAGAAAAGCAGGATGTATGTGGAACTGAGGCTGGAGGTAGGAAGGAACAACAGACCTGTGAACAGTACCCTCTGAGAAGAGCTAGCTCTGCAGTGCTGAACATTGTCCTCATGATGAGTCTGTGGTTTGGTTTCTTCAGCCTCAATGTTCAATAAGTAGTGAGACAAAGGTTTGTCTCTGAACGTCACCTGAGCAAACAGTGGAAGGAATTAATCAGAAATGTCTTTCAACACCACTGACATGTCCGCTTATGACTGATGACTTATTAATGAGAGTATCAAGGTTTCCTGAGTGGGATATATGAACCCTATGGGCCTATTAGGTGTCCTTCAGCAGCACTCTTGATTATGCAACCATTAAACAGGCCTCTGTTGCACTACGCTTTTTAATTTTTTTTTCAATGTCATGGAAAAGGAGGAGTGTGTGTGTGTGTGCTGGTGCATAGCTCTACAGTGAACATTCAATAATTTACAGCCTTATGCTGTGTATTGGCCTGTCTCCACAGACCCCTACTGGCAGTAGCAGACACAAATCAACAGATAGGGAAGGAAAACAGTCTGTGGGAGCTGATTCTTCACAAACAACTGACTCACTCTAGATTCATAACTAACTGACATTAAACTAACAAAAACAAAATAAATAAAAAGGCAGATTTTAATATCACCACAATACTGTATGAACTCTGTTTTACTGTACTGCTGATTTCATTTGATTCTTGCTACCTGAACAAAGTTTTACTGTTCACTTAGTTCATCTTGTTGCCCTTTTTTGCCTTTCATAAAGCACTTCAAAATTACTTGTTTTAGATAAATCAACTTAATTACTATTATGAACCTTGCTATTGATTTATGTCAGTTATTCATGACGTGCATCAGTACAAAAAGTCCATATTCATTTTAAAGGCCAATGTTCAAATCATGCTATTATACATGAATGTGTTTAAGTAGCCTGGTAAGACCATCCTAATGAGGTGAGCTCAACATTCTGTTTCACTCTCTGTATCAGTCTGGACTCGCTGCCCCTCAAACACTTTCCAATTTGGACCAATCAGGGATCAGTTCTGTGGTTGACAATGTAAGCAGCTAATCAGGGACTGTGTTGTAGTTGATGATGTAAAATGTAGGCTGCACCTTGCAGAACAGTGATGGCAGCTTCCAAAGTAACAAGCACTAACTCTAACATCAGTAGAATAAACACAGCAATAAGTGAAGTTACTGCAGAAAGTCAATAAGAACAAGAGTATGCAGTCGCTAAGTTTCTCAGAGGAAAATCTGTTTCTGTCGTTCTTCTGACTGGATTTGGCAAAAGCTAGATTTATCAACTGGTTCTGTTGGTGACGAAGATGATGTTCCCCTGTGTTTTGTTAAGCTGACTGACTGACTGAAGGAATTTGTCTTACTTGCAGTACTCCCACCCACTGAAAATGTTTGGGGGCGTTGCCAAATCCAGACTGACACAGAAAGACAAACAGAACATTGAGCTCACGTCGTCAGGATAGTCTTACCAGGCGAGTGTTTAAAGCAACACTTACCTTTCAGGAAATTTTACACTTTTCTTTGTTTAGGTTAAAATGCTATTAATAAACTGATGGCACACTAAAATGTAAGTGAATTCCACCAGATATAAAAACTCATAATTATACCATTCTCATATGGTTCTAAGAAAACTAACTAACTAACTAACTAATTTTTCTCCTGTCCTGTCTGTCTTCCCCACGTGGAGGCCTCCGACTGACATAACAACATGTATATGTATATGTATATGTATATGTATGGGGTGCCGTTTGTAGTGTCTCACGCTGAAAATAACATCAACATTTTGCCACATTTAACTTCAAACAATGTTTAAAAAAGTATTGTGAATTTTTTAACATCACCTTTTACCACATTTACAGCAATATTTGTTAACTTAGAAATATATTAAATAGTTAAATCTAAATATTAAATCTAAATCTAAATGCTAAATCTAAATCTAAATCTAAATGTTAAATGTAAATGCTAAATATAAATATAAACATAAATGTTAAATCTAAATATTAAATATAAATATAAATCTAAATGTTAAATCTAAATGCTAAATGGACACTAACAACTCAAAGTACACATCAAATAAAATTTCTCCAAACATGTTTCTTGTTATTTTAGGTAGTTATTATCACACTAATATATGTTCAAGTGTCCATTTCCCCCAATAAGTTGGTTTTAATTAGTTATTTGATTCTATAAACACAGTCTGACCATCTCGAGCTTTTATTTTGGTATTTCCGGTGACCGGCAGTGTGAATTTGCATATTAGCTAAATATTCAGTTTCACCCAGAACATTTAGACTTAACATTTAGATTTATATTTAGCATTTAGATTTAACATTTATATTTATAT